GGGTTTGGGTTTGTGGGGGTGGCTGAGCGCGAGGGCGAGGAGAGTGGGGGGCAGAGGGATGTGGGGGATGTTATGCCTGAGGTCCGAAGAGCGGGGAGGGCCGTTGAGGAGGGCGTGCATGCCGTGCGCGCGGACCGTGAGTGCCCTTTCATTCTCTATTGCCTTATACGGACGAGATGCTGATGGGCGCCTATGAACAGCGGCGGCGAATGCATTGGCGCTGGTGTCGAGCGTGCAGAGCTTCACAGATCTGCTGGGAAGCGTGAATGTGGCTAAGAGCGTGGATGTGGACGGCGTTGCTATTCAGGGCGAGGGCGCGGGGCCGAGCTCGGCGTATAGGGCCAGTGTGCTCAAGGCGCGGTACGTCCTCCCCACTCATTCGCAGAGAAAAAACAGAAGTGCTGATTATATGATGTGTGTTGTACAGATCGCTCATGCGCACGCTCGAAGCGTCCTTCCAAGCGCTCCACGATGACACATTATTGCTACTCCTGCACACCCAGTCCCTCCTATCATTACCGCAACCCGACCCTTCGCAGCCCTTCTCCGCCCCCTCAACCCGCTCAGACGACCAGCTCCGCCAAGCATCCCACCTCCAACAAACGCTCGCCGAGCTCTCCAACCTGATCCGCTTACACACCAGCACGACAGTGGACGCGCTGGAGGGCCTGGTGCAGGTGGGCGCAGAGCAGCAGGAGAAGGAGGGGCGCGAGTGGCGCGGCAGCATCGAGTGGCGCGCGAGCAGGCTGTTGCAGGCGACGAGCGCGGGGGAGCTGGGCTTTAATCTGGGTTTGGTGCCGGCTGATGTGGGCGGGCGGGATACGTTCGATATGCTCGCGTACTCGAACGCGACGCCGTTGGCGGCGTCGTTCCCCGACCCCGCCTCCGCGACACTCTCCTCCCGTCAACCGTCGAACTCGAACTTGAATGCGTATAACGGATTCAGCGACCGCAACAGGAACAACGCGTCGGAGCGGGAGTACGACTATAACACGCACTCTTCCGCGGCGGGCGCACGGGGGCTCGGGCGGAACGCGTATACGAACGGTCTGCGGGGCCTTGGGGGCGGGAGCGGGACGGACAGTAGTGATGGGGACGGCGAGGTCGACGATGAGGTCGTGGGCTTCGATTTTGTGCCTAACCGGAAAACGCGCTCGAATACTGCGACCTCGTCCTCTACGACGCAGCCTCCGACTTCGGCGGGGTATGGGCGGTACGAGCCGAGCTCGAGCAGCAGGTATCAGGGGAGCAGCGAGACGCCGACGATTGTGGAGGATGTGGGGCCGTACGCGGAGGGGATGCGGAGTACGGCGAGGACTAGACAGAGGGCGAGGGAGGGGAGCGGTGGGGGGAGGGGGAGCAGGAGCGGGAGCGGGAGCGAGGGGAGTTTGGAGGAGAGGGAGAGTTTCTTTGGGGATGATGATGGTGCGCTTCCCCCATCTATGTTATGCACAGTGAAAGTGAAAGGGAGAGTGCTGATGCGTGTGCGCAGGACTCGCGCCGCCGGCGTCGGCGGTGGGCGGGAAGTCGCCGTCGAGGTCGAAGGCGGCGGATAAATTGTTGAGGGTGCTGGGCGACGCGCCGGCGCATATTATCGACAAGCTGAATGCGGAGAGTAAGCCGTGGTATTTGAGGGCGGATTATGAGGAGGGGAAGGACGTCGTTATCGATCCGGACGGCAAGGTACTCCCCCATTCCCTCAACATCATGGGCTTAAGAGGGATGCTAATGCGTGTGTTGTGTGTGTAGGTCCGCGGCGGCACGGTGCCAGCCTTAGTGGAGCGCCTGACGGCGCACGAGCACACGGACACGAGCTTCACGAAGACGTTCTTGATGACGTTCAAGAGCTTCACGGACGTGGACACGCTCTTCGGCTTGTTGATTGAGCGGTTCTGGATCAGGCCGCCGGAGGGGCTGGGGAAGGAGGAGGAGGCGGAGTGGCGGAAGTTGAAGCAGCATATTATCCGCACCAGGTACGCCCTCCTCTCTATCACGATTAGGAAGGGGAAGGGAGAGGCTGATGAGTGTGTGGGTGTAGGGTGCTGAACACGTTCAAGACGATGATTCTAGACGACGACGTGCTGGAGGAGAAGGACATGTATATCCTGGACCGCCTCGCGGAGTTCGTGGAGAACGAGGAGGTCAAGTCGATGGCGGCGGGCAAGCAGCTGGGCATACAAATAACGCGGACTGTGCGTCTCCCCTCTCTCCCCCCTCCCTCTCTCCCTCTCTCCTACAGTCCTTGTTTTGAAGTGAGAAGTGAGAAGTGAGAAGTGAGAAGTGAGAGCTGATGCATGGCGATGATGCAGAGAAACGGCGACAACGCGCGCGCAAAAACGACGATCTCGTACGACCCGCAGCCGACGCCCATCGTGCCGCGCTCGAACAAGAAGCCGAAGCTGCTGGAGTTCGACCCGACGGAGGTCGCGAGGCAGCTGACGATTATCGAGTGCGGTCTGTTCTTGAAGATCAAGGTGCTCTCTTCCCTTCCTGCTCTACTCTACTACATTGTGGAGTGCGAGTTGTTGAGTGAGCTGACTGTGGATTGTGCGACAGGCGAGCGAGTGCTTGACGCGGACGCGAGAGCAGAAGGGCACGAGCGATAATATTAGCGCGGCGATTGAGACGAGTAATAAGGTGCGTTTTATATTTCACTTCATTATCTCCTCCGAGTGCGCGGGGCATTGGAAATTGAGGAGTGGCGTCAGCGCCAGTGCCGCTTTGGCACAGAGCTTATTCCCTGTATGGATCTGGCGTGCATGCGCGCTGTGTGGTATGTAGCGGATCAGCGAGTGCTTATTTTGCGTGTTGGGAATGCGGCGCTTAAGCGCTTGAGCGCTCACTGATGGGATGGGCGCTTCCATCTCAGCTTTATCTGCGCGCATGGTAACGGACAACGGATGACAGAATACTGACGCGCTTTGTGTTGTAGATCGCACACTGGGTCGCCGATGCCGTGCTCGACAAGGAAGACGCGCGGAAACGCGCGTCGATTGTTAAGCAATTCATTCAGGTCGCAGACGTACGTCCCTCCTCTCGCCCTACCTTGCCTACAAACGCCAAACTGACGTGTCCATCGCAGCGTTGCCGCGAGCTGAAGAACTTCAGCTCGATGATCGCCATCGTGTCCGGGCTCAACTCGCCGCCGGTGCGCAGGCTGAAGCGGACGTGGGACCAGATCAGCCAGAAGTTCGCGGGCATGCTGAGCGCGTGCGAGATGACGATCGATAGCGGGAAGAACTTCAATAACTATCGACAGCTGTTGCAGCGGATCACGCCGCCCTGCGTGCCGTTCATCGGTACGTACCCTCATTGTTGTACGCGGAATGTGTTGGGTAGATGCTGATGAGTGGGGGTGCAGGTGTGTACCTGACGACGCTCACGTTCATCCAAGACGGCGCGCCGAACACGATCTCCGGCAACCTCGTCAACTTCCGCAAGCGCGCCAAGGCGGCCGAGGTGATACAGGAGATCCAGAAGTGGCAGAGCAAGCCGTTCAACTTTGCAAGGGTGGAGCTCATCGCGGAGTATCTGCACGAGCAGCTGAACAAGTTCAACGACGTGCCGGACGTGAGCGATGTGTTTTGGAATAGGAGTTTGGAGAGGGAGCCGAGGGAGAGGGAGGACGAGAAGATGGCGCGGTTGTTGCAGGAGACGGGCTTCTTGTGAGCTCGGTTCTTCGTATCGTCCCCCTCCCGTTCTCCCCTGCTTCATGCTTCATGGTCTTGTGCACGCTTGCATTGCGCTTTACTCTCACTGCTCCGTATCGTCGCATGGACCGCTCATCATTCGTACCAGTCGTGGCCTTGGTTAACGCGATCATTTTCGTCCCCGCTCTGGAAGTCGACCGGCTTATACTCGCAACATACCTACCATCCGCATCCCGTGTATCATTATTTCCTCCATCTTCGTTTCGCCCTCCGATCATCCCCTCCGTACATACTCACACTCATCTGCGATTCTGGATTCGGGTTACTCTCAGTTTTCATGTTTGTCTCTGTGCGCCTCGACATGCATTCATCGTTACCATTATCATACCGTTACCCCTTCGTGGTCGTTGATGCCTATAGACTTCGCCTGCATGGACAGGCCACATGCTCCACATCCGAATGTCGGGCATACCGGGCATGATCTGGAGCATCAGACTATTGTGACCATGCGATTCGATGTTTCAGGGCCGTTTAGTACCAGTCGTGAGATGCGAGCACGATGCTTGACGTATCGGACAGAGTCCGCAATCCTTGCTCTCACCATCCATCTCGATGACCCCCTCGCTGCCGACAACAGCTCACAATATGGCTGGGTTGCCGCCAGAGGGTACGTCCAGATGTCTTGCTTACCTTCGAACTATCTAATCTTGCATCCAGAACCCTCTTTCCCCGACTCCCGCGACGGGATCTGGTCGCAGTTCATCTCTGATGCCGAAAAGCGTGATAGGACTCAACTCGAGCAGTGGAAGGGCGACACAGAGGGGATTCTCATATTCGTGCGTGCAATGGGTTGCTTGTCCGGTCGTGTACTGACTGCATCTCCAGACTGGTCTCTTCGCTGCCACTGTCGCGACTTTCGTCGTCAGCTCTCTTCCGATGCTTTCCCCGGACTCCGGAAGTCAGACGGTGATGCTTTTGACCGAGGTTATCGCGGTCTTGTCGGATCAGAGCACAACTGCTGGGCCCGTGAACATTACAGCCAGTCAACTATCCCCTACATTCGAAGTGCCTCCATATGCCCGGCAAGTCAATGTTTTGTGGCTGGTTAGCCTCTTCCTGGCCTTATCCAGTGCGCTGTTTGCTACTCTGGTGCAACAGTGGGCTCGTACCTACGCGCACCATGTCCGTCTTCATCCTAACCCTCGACAGAGGGGGATCATCTATGCTGCCTTGATACTTGGCATGGAGCGATTCCGCATGGAAGATACGGTCGCGGGTATTGTGACTCTCGTTCACGTCTCTGTGTTTCTCTTCTTCGCCGGGATGCTTGTCCTCCTGTACGCGACAGACTTGCTTGTTGCCACGCTTCTCACAGCCCTGATTGCATTCATCTTGTTGGTGTACCTGATGTTGAGCATGATGCCCATATTTTGGCACGACGCCCCGTATCATACGCCGCTAACGCCGATCTTCTTGACGATGGTCCGAACTGGGCATCGTCTGGTATATGCTTGCGTGAATATCGTACGCAGATGTGGGAAAGGCGGGCGAGATACGTCTCGTGAGGTCGCGATTCGTTCTTCTCGGGAGGCGTTCGTAGCCCGAGAATCCTACGATCAAGTACCGCTGCAAATGCTAGCAAAGTTGCACATCTTTGCTTTCGCCCGCGCACTAGAGTCTGCTACCGCTCTTCACAACGTCCTGTCCTTCTGGGACAACTTGTCTTCATTCCTATCTTCTTCAAGGACCGATCGTCAACTAGCGCATCATATACGCCAGTTTGCGGCCAAAGATCTCCGGCTGTTCGAAAGGATCAACTCAATGTTGGATTCCCAGGACCGAAGCTACAGACTGGGCTATATGGCCGAAGTGATATGCAAAGTGGCGCACAATGTCCTGTTCCCCAGCGAGCCAGAGTTGTCCGAGTTCGATCTTTATCTGCAGCTCCTCGTGCGAGCGCTTGAATCATGGAAGACCGCGCCGAATATCTATGCTGATCCGGGCACAGCTATCGTGTTTGATTTGTATTCTGCCAATATGCGGGCTGACATATTGGATTCTGCGTCTCAGTTCATGAAGCGTAACCCATACTTGCGGATGAGAAAGCCTATTCTTGATGGTATTGCATACCTCCATCGTGACGTCTTTCTGGCTTACCCTGAGATTCATATTCGCGACGATTACTTCTTCCTAGAGCCGATAACCGACATCAATCGCAGTCGAGGTACCACACTTGTCATTGAGCTCTTGTCGATTCATGATTTTCTATCCATGTACAGAAAGATCATGGCATGGGTCAACGCTCACGGCCTGGCCAGTGTATTGAATATTCTGCGTGAGACCGAAGCCGTGTGGCTTCCGTTGATGAGGCGCCTGCACAAGAATGCCCTGGCTCATATATGGTTAAGTCACACAGTGACCTTCTTCGCGTATATCAGTCGACCGAGCTTGCAAGGGTTCCCGATCATTACGAAGTTTCTTCTGGACGTAGGAGCACCCGACTATCGCCAGCTTGAGGTGAACGATGAAGGCGTGTTCAAGAATCCAAACGTGACATCACCCCGAAATCCGTATGGGCCGCTTTTCGGTGCCTTCCCTGAGCTGGCGCAATTGATACACTCTCTTTGTACCATGTTGTACGAGCGCAGGGACATCACAGGCACTCCGTTTGAACAGCAAGTTCATTTCTATCGGGCTCCCACCAATACCACGGAGCAGAATGCACCACCTACAATATCCACGACTCCTGCGTATCTCGCCCACATAAACGGTAACATGTTCTCTAGAGAGATACCGTCTTCGTTGCACCAACCGACGCAGCCTCTTCAAGTTGATACCACTGCCGACGATACGGTTGGAACCACTCCTACTGCAGATACTGAGGCTTTCATTCCCTCTCCTGTGTCTGCGCATATGGCCTTGACAGACAATATGACCGAGAATCCCGAAGCCCAGCTGTCTGAGGAAGGGAATGGGGCGTTGTCGAGCCCGAAAGTAACCAGACCACCAGACCTCGAGCTGATACTGTCACGGCGCAATGTGACATGGGCGGAGTTCATGGAGATCCATGAACGCAGTACAAATGGCTCAGCTTCCTTTCGGCAGAGAAGCGAATCAATGAGTGCAGGACGGGACTCCTCGGATGCCTCTTCAGAGATACAAGAGATGCGAACGATTCCGAGAGATGAACAGGGTACACTGTATACAGCCTTGGAAGGAGAAATGAGCTCGGACCGGCGAGTGAATCTTGTTGAAGATAGCAGGCGCGCCGAGGAGACGTCATTGCCACCATCCGTCGGGCTATCGCATGAAGAATTGAGTGGAAGCCCGATGCTGGAAGTCATCGCACCGTCATCCGCCAGTGGCGACGGCTCTATGTCCTCTGGACCTGATATAGGCTCCTTCAGTATACTGGAAACATATTCTCAATCGCCTGGGCGCGATAGTGTATCTCTTCAGGGTTCAAATTCAGAGCTGGGAGACTCTAGAAGACATAGCAGTTCTTGGGGCATCCCCACACCTCCTACACGCTTCAGGTCGCTACCCGAGCTATTGGTAGATGAGTCCGTCCCCACGTTCTCCGTAGGACCGGATGACACCAATAGCGGTTCATTGGGTCTTCTGTTGAGCAATACAGAGGACGTTGCTGAGCATACCGGTGTATTGGCATCAAGCTCGCCATCTATTCAAGACTCGTCGGAGAGTTTCGTAACAGCATCTTCCGTTGTGACAAGATCGGAGAGCAGAATCAGCTTCGCGAGTACTTCCCCAAGTGAACATGAACGATGGATTGCGCTCCTTGATAGAACGAATGCAACTTGGTGATGCGATGCTTCGGACTCATTCCTATGCGCGGCTCTGTGTACTTAACGCACGTAACTTTGATATTGCATCGGCATACCTTCCACGGCGTGTCCTGACTGATGCAGCTATGTTCGGTCCAGAAACATCAGTAAATGTAGATTAGGCTGGCTGCGAGTCGCGACGTTGGCGCAACTAGTACTCTCGTCGAGTTATCATTCAGGTCGCCGCGATACTACGTGGTGACTCGAGGCCGCACTAGGGCGGATAAATCAGTTTCCGTCCAATAGGTATATGAGAGAGGAGCGTGTCAGTACGCTGGAACAAGAGCTCGTAAGATCATGGTGGTTGAAAGTGAGAACACGGCGCGGCAAAACAGCAACGTCATAACGTCAGCAGCATCCCAGGTTACATACAGACCACCACCACCACCGGGGCTTGCGCTCTGGGCAAGCCAAGAGGGTCCTACTCGACACATGATATCTTCTTCTACCACTCTTCGCTCCTACACTCCCCAACATACAATCATACCCACCCCTCCCTTGTGAAGGCGATGAAAAGGGCTAAGTAGTGAGGGTGATGTAGGCAAGCGAGTGCTTGACGCGGACGAGAGAGCAGAAGGGCGCGAGCGATGATAGTAGTGCAGCGATTGAGACTAGTAATGAGGTACGTTCCCATTCTTCCTTTCGCTTGGGAAATCGGAAACTGCACCGTGCGCTGTGGCACCCGGCGCTAGCGTCGCTTTGGCCTGACGCTTATCCCCTGCGGCCTGTACGGATCTGAGCTTGCGTGCGCCCCGTGTGGTACTGTGAGCTTGTGATGGATCATCCACTACTCATTTTGCGCTCTGGGAATTCAACGTGGCGGCGCTTGGGCGCTGGATGGGTTGAGCGCTTCCATCTTACAATATCTGCGCGCATGGCGACGGACGACAGACGACAGAATACTGACGCCTTGCGTTCCAGATTGCACACTGGATTGCCGATGCTGTGCCTGACGAGGAAGGCGCGCGGAAACGCGCGCTTACCGTCAAGCACTTCATTCAAGTCGCAGACGTACGTTCCTCCCCTCCATTCCTCCATCACGCGATGCTGACAATGTATATCGCAGCCCTGCCGCGACCTGAAGAACTTTAGATCGATGATCGTCATCGTGTACGGGCTCAACTCCGCAGGTTGAAGCGGACGTGGGACCAGGTGGGACCAGATCAGTCAGAAGTCCGCGAGCATGTTGTGCGCGTGCGACATGACAATCGATAGCGGGAAGAACTCCAATAACTATCGATAGATGCAGCGCATCATGCCACCTTGTGTGCCCTTCATCGGTGTGTTGTACCCTCCACAGTTTGTAGGGCAGAATAGGCGCTGACGAGCCGGGCGCTTAGGTGTGCACCTGAAGACGCTCACGTTCATCCAAGACAGCGCCCAACACGATCTCCGGCAACCTCGTCAACTTCCGCAACTGCGCCAATGCCGCTCAAGTCATACAAGAGATTGGAGAGGGAGCCGAGGGAGAGGGAGGATGAGAAGATGGTTAGGTTGCTGCAGGAGACGGGGGCTTGTAGTGACACAGCGCTCAACCCTCTGCCTGTTGGTCTTGCTCTGCGCTCATATGCGCCCGCTTGCTCGTGGCATGGACTCTCCGTCGACACGTCGGATCTTCCTCTGTCACTCTTCCGCTCCTACACTCGCCAACATACACACATACATACCTACCGATGCTCATGCTCACGCATCCCATGTATCATTATTTCATTCGCCCCGTTTCGTCTACCCCTCCCTCTCCTACTTCGAGGTTCTGCTGTTTTGTTCGAGTGTCAGGCCTTCTTTCTTTTTGCATATCATACAGTTACCCCGTCATGATTCGGGGATCGATTTTACCTAGAGACTCTCTTTGAAGCGCCTTGGATGTCTCGCTGGCGGGACTTGATTGCTATTTGCGAACTGGAGTTATCCAAGTTCAAGTTGGGCAGTGCGGTGCAGTGCAACGCGCTTGTGTTGTTCGATAGGCACAGCACATCGTTTGCCAAATAACCCGCGCGCGGGGGTACCAATCCCTGAGAGCCCTCTTTCAGGATAGGAACTTCCAGTCATGTTTGTAAACCGCGCCGCGCCGCTGTCCACTCCGAGGAAATCATTGAGCGGGCGTGCAAAGGAGGCCGGCCGCTAGTTGGGGACGCGGCAAGAACGCGACTGAACTTCGTTCTTACCACCATGACACCACCGCGTCCACCGCGGATGATTGATAACGCAGCGCTGTCAGGAGGCGCATGACCAGAAATGCAGTGTCGACCTTATGCTGTAGAGTGATACTTCTCACGCTGTCGGGTCTGGAAGGCTACTATCGAAATACTGAGCGCTCCCGGTGTGCTTCTCCAAATACAGTGCCCCAACACTAACAACGAGACGAAATGCGATTAATCTCTTACTACCACCATCCCATGTCACAGTCTACGCCGCCTCTGGTCCGTGTGCGCCGGCAGAATGTCTCTGCTAGGCACCCTCCTGTCTCTACACTAAGTGTAGACGCGCTCTGGAGTGCGGCCCTAGAACAATACCGTCGCTCATTGGGCGTGGATCTGCGAGATTCCACTCTCACTATCGCAGATAAGCTCGACCGGTGCTCTACGGCTGAAGATATTCTCGACGCGTTCCAAGATACGCTGGAGCGCCTGCATAACAAGCGGAAGGGAAGCAAGAGGACGCGCGCTCTAAGAGACGCTCTCAAACCGGTTGTGTACGGTCTTGCCATCATTCTTGATGCTAGCGCCGAAACTGCATCTTCTCTAGTACGTTCACGGCCTCGTCATCGCCGTGTAGGATTCTTACTCACGGACCGATAGGGCGTTCCAGGAGGTAAAGGTGTATTCGCCGCGATCGCCATACTGCTCAAGGTGTGCCCACAAAAGTGCCTTGATCGATGGTTCGTAACGAGTCTAACGATGCTGCAGGCTGCCGATAGCGTTAGCGTCCGGTTTGATGACTTGATGCAGCTCTTCGACCGTCTGGGAGCATATGTACGGCGATTACAAGTTCGCGTACAAGCTCCCATGAGCTCGCCGACAAGGGATATCGCTGTGCAAGCCCTGGTAGAGGCGCTCAAAGCGCTCGCACTCGCCACCCAAATGCTGCGCAAGAATCGTGTTGGTGCGTATTCCGACCATTCATCTTCAATTTGTTCTGTTCTTTGTGTGCTGATCGTCTGACAGTGCTGTTTCTTGGCGCATTGGGCTCGAAGTCGGATGCGATTCGGACTGCTATTGAGGACCTTGAGACGGTTGTATCGGATGAAGAGAGGATGGCTGTTACTGACGTGATCGTTGGGATGCACGAGCTGTCCACCCACGTGCTCGATGGTACGGAGTCGTTTTTCACGCGCCATTGCAATGGGACTGACTGAGTGTATCTGTATTGAAGCTGGCGCCACTTCTTCACGACTGGCAGAGACCTCGCAAGGGAACCTTCGACTCACGCGCCGGTTGATGGATGAGATACGGGACAACGAGTCGCGAAGGGCGGGGGATAGTGAGTTCATGCCGGTTCGCTATCTGAGCGTCGGTCTAACGAACTCGAAAAGGTCACACTATACTTGAGTTGCTACATATACTGATAGATTGTGTCAGTATCAACGTCCGCTCCGAAGGACTGCTCTCCATCCGTTCACCTTCCCCTACTGTCGAGCACCAATATGGATCAGTATCGACACCTGGTCTCCGCACCGATACGGAGTCAGAGCTTACGAGCCAGGTGGGGCTACATAGAGCGTCCAACGCTGAGTCCTCGATGCTCGTATCTCGATTACGCGGCGTGATATCAAGATTCGCGCCCGAGGATCAGGACATACTCTGTCGATCTTTGTACACCCTTCTCACATGGTCCCTTGAGGTCATGAACGGAAGACCTAGCCCGTCCAGATCCAATATGGCTGCTCTGGCACCGCTCTACTGGAGCATATTCGAGCAAATGCTGCCTTTGATGTGCACATTCCTACTCCTGTTCATGATCTGGAAGCTTGGATCCGTCACGCGCCCTTTAGGATGGCCTTCAGGAAGTGTCATAATCATCGGCCTGTGCGACGAGATATTTGTTCTGGAGCATGATACGTTCTCAACTTGGGAGGTTCGTCGTCCACATTGCCTCCGCACTGCCTTTCTGACATTCTCTCTAGAACACTCATGCCTACCTCAGTCGTGCTTTCCAAGGTCGGCGAGGAGCAACCTACGTGGCGAGGAAGGCTTATAGCCTTGGAGACTCCGATCATTTACTGATCGGACAGTCTGAGTGGTCCGATGTCGTGAGAGCCGGATCTCGGCTACATATGAGCATCGTCGTGCGCGAGAAGAGGCCTCGCTGTCCGTACTGTGGGGCCGCCTCCGGTACAAGTAAGACTTCCTTGAGCGAAAGAGGACGTGTTGTCTGGTCAGGAACTCACATGATCCTGCCTTGTATATCCGGGAGACTCATCACAGATAGTGCAGCTCGGGATGTGGACGCATCTACGGGACATTGGAGGGCAACAAGATCAACGAAGTCCCCGGCCGTTTGAGGTGAGTGACACTAGTAGTTCCCTGCAAACATCGCATACGCCTGACACGGCGCTCTTTCCAGCATGCAAATCGCGAATTCTGCATTGTCTAATACGTATGCGTCTGATTTTGATGCGATCGACTCCGTGAGCTCCTTCCACAGAGTGCTACTTGCTCTGGATTTTCGGTGTGTCTATACTCGGGTGAGACATATATCACGTGTGATCATTCTGACCCTTCATAACAGCCGGTCGTCTCAATCCAGTCTGCGCGGGTCGGTCCTAGATGATGATCCAGGTAAGCCCTCCATGTGGAACCCGCGGCTGGATACTTCTGATTGTATCTTTACTTGAATATGGCAACAGGTGAAAGTGCACGGGATAGGCTGCCCGCAAACGTGGACGAAGTTGTCCAAGAGCTTCCAAATGCGCCATATATCGGTTCACTCTCAACCTCACAATCGTCTGCTCGTCCACCCGCGATACTTGGAATCACCTCCGGCGGAACTCACGAGCAAGGTTCCGCACTCGACACCATGCGCGTTCAAGCTGCCGACGACGGACCACACGTCATCATTCAAAAAGAATCAGATGAAGAAACGGCGATACATGGCAATCACCGTCGCGAGTTCGGTCATAAACGGAACAAGCACGCCGCTGGGTCTAGGAGCGAAGGGCGTTTGGACCTTATCAACGGTATGTTGCTCAGAAGTTCAGTTGGCCTAGACAGGATCTGATATCGGGCAGATTCGATCCCCACACCATCTATCAAGACGAATCGGTCACCCGCACTCTCAGAAGCGTACGACCGTAACCTACAGGCGCTGGATGAAGCACCGACGCACGTAAGCGCTACACTGGACGCTGAACCACTGTCGAGTTTGTATCGCCGTGACTATGACGAAGAAGAGAAAGACATCATCGTGGACTCGGATGGCAAGGCTCGTGCTCTGCTCCGTGAACGTATTGTAGTGTCATACTGATCCGCGCATAGGTCTACGCAGGAACTGTACCCGCTTTGGTGAAGAGGCTAGTTGCACATGAGTGTACAGACACCGGCTTCACGAAGACGTTTCTCATGTCTTTCAAATCGTTTACGGAAGTTGATACGCTGGTTGGACTCCTGGTAGAGCGGTACGTGAAGTCTCTTGAACTTTCTCATGGTTGAGCGCTGTAACGAGGGTACTGTAGGTTCTGGATCACCCCGCCTCGAGGTCTCAATGGGGTACAAGAAGAAGAATGGAGAAGACTCAAGCAGCATGTGATAAGGACACGCGTGCTCAACACGATGAAGACAATGCTTTTAGACGACGACATCCTGGAGGAAAAGGACATGCATATTCTCGATAAGATTGTCGAGTTTGCGCGACACGGCGAAGTCAAGGAGAAGGCAGCGGGGAGACAGTTGTTGTCGCACATACAACGCATACAGCATGGGTCCAGAGCGCGATCCAGGTCCACGACTTCGCGTGACCCGCAGCCGACGCCTATATTTCCGCGTACGAAGAAGACTCTGAAGTTGCTGGATTTGAGTCCGCTTGAGATCGCAAGGCAGTTGACTATCATCGAGGGCAGTTTATTTCTGAAGATCAAGGTGCGCTTCGCTATCTCCATATGGTGTTGACCATTGAGACTGACTGACCCCTTGTTGCTAGGGCAGCGAGTTCTTCAAGATGAGGAGCCACGAACTTCAGCAGGATCTAAAGGAGAGTAATATCACTGCGATGATTGAAACAACATTCAAGGTGAGCGTTTTCCCCTCTCAGGGTCCAACCTGAATGATACAGCCTCTATTGTAGATCACTCATTGGGTTGCCGACGCCGTACTGAAACCGGAAACTGCACACGAGCGTGCGTTCATCATCACACACTTCATCCGAGTCGCAGATGTACGTTTCCCGCAACCCTCTGCTTTCAGGACATAGGGGATTCCTGACCGAGAATACAGCGTTGTCGCGAGTTGAATAATTTCAATTCGATGATTGCCATTGTGTCCGGTCTTAGCTCGCCGCCGGTGCGCCGGCTGTCGCGGACGTGGGACCAGATCATCCCGAAACATACGAGTATGCTGAGCGCGTGCGAGATGACGATCGATAGTGGGAAGGAGTTTAGCAATTATCGACGGCTACTACAGCGCACTGAGCCACCTTGTGTGCCGTTCATCGGTGCGTCTTCGCCATCTCAAGATCAAAGAGTAGGATGTATGCTGACGTCGACCACAGGCTTTTACCTGATGACGCTTATGGTGATTCAAGAGAGCGCACCAAACACAATCACGGACAACCTCATCAATTTTCGCAAGCGGGCCAAAGCGGTCGAAGTGGTACAGGAGATTCAGCAGTGGCAGAGCAGGCCGTTCAACTTTGCGCGTGTGGAGCTGATCGCGTATTATCTGCTCGAGCAGCTGAACAAGTTCAACGGTGCATCTGACGTTAGTACCGTACTCTGGGATCTAAGCTTGGAGAGGGAGCCGACAGAGAGGCAAGACGAGAAGATGTCGAGATTGTTACAGGAGACGGGCTTTATCTAATCTCTTGATCGCCCGGACGGCGTTGTATTCAGCGTTGTCATCCCCGCTTCGTGATACCCCATGATACCCCCACAACAACTATCTCGCGCGGATAGGCACAGAGGCGACGGATCCGGGCTATGGTTAATGATACGGATATACTTCAAGATGATGGTGTAGAGCAACATCCAGGTCTCCCAGTGCAAAAGTGCAAAACGGCACGGCCGCGAAGACATGACGTCACCGGCCCGATACTGGCCGGTGCGGCTAGAGCCGCCGGCCACGAGCTAGCAACTCTCGTTGCGAACGACCACCGTCAGGCCTTCAGCTTCAGGATCTGGGCTCACAACAAGCTCAGAAGGTTGTAGTTCATCGCAGCTATGCTCCGCCCTGCTTTTCGCCTCCGAAGACCGCGTCAAGGCGCTGCGCCGTTCATAGGCTGCTTTCAGATTGAACCGTCAGATCCCAATGTCCCATGTACTCAACGGTCTACATTCCCGCCCGGAAATGCATACCGAAAGCTCCGCTGCCGCACTGACCAGTACGCTAGGATGATGTGACGTCTCACACATCACGAGTGGCCGCCGGAGCGAAGAGGCTGCATCGCCGAGCTCTGCACTAACGGGGTCCGAGGACTCCGTTGCTACCTTGCATGAAGGGATTTGACGACCCCATACTGAATAGGAATGGCTATTCATTGGGGCTGCGGAAGCTACGGGCGCTGCTGCAGGGCTAGAGAACCGCATGCAATGACGACTATGACTGATGCAAATACCATGGAGTAGAACAGCATGAAGGATCAAGATGATTTGGGGCATTCTCGAATTTGTCTGGATGAAGGTAACTATAGCCTGCTATAGCACGGGAAAACGTTTGCTGGAAGGCAGTGACGCAGGTACCGCATCATGTTGCCGCTTTGGATACGGGCGCATTCGAGGATTTCCTATTATCGAATGGAGAATGACTACAGTCTTTGCTGGGTTGATTGATGGCCTGTTCTCCGCGCCAGTGGCAAGTCAGCACGTGCGTATTAAGCTATTCATCGCGCAGCATGACCTGTACCGTGTCAACACATGGTGACCTTACGAGGTGTTTCATGTGGACTGCCCTCGAATCCGCCTTTACCTGCACCTACCCGCGCGGGACTTCTGCATCATGCCGTGCCGACAGTTCTTTCGGAGAACACGCTCTGCAAACTCCGTCATTCTACGAGACGTGGCGAACCTCTACTGCGAATCAAGCTAAACAGTGTCGTAAACTCGACGCGACGTTCATCCTATGACCCCTTATACTTTGTTCTTCAACAACATCTCTGAAGAGTCCAATGCACCGGCAAGCTCTCATCAACCGACATGAGCGCTTCCACTCGCCCCGACGTAACTCTGCTATACACTCTTTACTCTTTGTAGCCAGAGCGTGACCTGTCCCTTGAAACAGGGTAGTTGTGGGCATGAACAGCCCGTCCGGTTCGGAATACAGTCCGCAACTCGCGGACGATGCCGACCGGCTTCGTTCAGGCCTGGCCTGTCTCTGTATATAAGGCGAGCAAAGCAGACTGACAATCGACAGCCCTCAAGGACTACTCCAGCAGCCTTCAAGAACTACCTTTCACCTTCCCATTCCTCACATCTTCAAGCCTCAACATGAAGTCCACCACCACTCTCGCCTCTTTCGTCGCTCTCGCTGCGACCGTCTTCGGCTCAGCGCACCATTACCATCAACAACAAGTGCTCCTACACCATCTGGCACGTCTTGCTCTCGAACGAGACCTGCACGATCGCTGATCACCTCGTAGGCCAGGTCTCTTCACCGCGGCCAATGCCCCAGTCCCCTCGCAGGCCACTGGTTTCCAAATGAATGCGGGAGCCAGTGTCAACTTCCAGGTCGCCGACACTTGGTCGGGACGCATCTGGCCTCGCACTGAGTGCGACTTCTCGCAGCCGGGTAAGAGCTCTATCAGACTGTAAGATGAGCGAGGCGCTGACACGCTCTTCAGACACGACGAGCTGCGCCACGGGCAGCTGCCTTGGAGGTCTTGAATGCAGCACGACCGGAGGAACCGACATTCCTCCTGCCACTCTGGCCGAGTTCACGCTCGCTTCGAGCGGAAACGAGTAAGTAATAGTCGTCAGCGATGCAAGCACATCTACTCACCTGTACTAGCAACTACGATGTCTCGCTCGTTGACGGGTTCAACGTCCCGCTCCAGATCACTCCGTCTGCTTCGGGGTGCACCGCTCCCGAATGCTCGGCGAACCTGAACCCCAACTGTAAGCCGTCCTCCACCTCAGTAGTATCCCAAGGTCGCGAGGAGCTGACGCGATGCATACGCAGGCCCTGCCAGTCTTCAGGTCAAGGACGGATCCGGCGCCATCGTCGGATGCAAGAGCGACTGCGCGGCCACGAACGACTCGGCGGCGTGCTGCACGGGCGACCATTCGACTCCGGCGACTTGCCCTTCGAGCGGTGTTCCGGACTACCAGTACTTCAGTACGCGTTCGCCCATGAGACCCCAGCGAGTATGAGGCTGACATTACTGCAGAGGGCCCCTGCCCGCAAGCGTACGTCTACGCTTATGACGATGCCAGCTCTCTCTTCACCTGCGCTGCGTCCAGCTCGGCTGTGAGTCTGCCTGCCGCTGATCTGTGCATGCGTAGGCGCTAACTTGAAGACAGGACTATACGATCACCTTCTGCCCTTGAGCTGCTACTGACCGAACATTCGAATCATTGCTTCTTGCTCCTTTCCAGTCTCTTGTACTTCTGTAGGCTCACTGCCATGTCTCAGTTCAGCGGATCAACTCGGACATTTCTTCGCCTGATGAATATATAAACCTTTTGTTTGACCTATGCGTGTGACAACGGCCAGAAGGTTCGAACGTGTGCACGATTTTCGCGATCGAAGCCTGCTGTGGTCAAGATCACGCTGGCGGACACCAGTCGAAAGCAGGCTGTCATAGTGTCTACAAACATACAGCGGGAATATCCAAGCATACACGAGCCGACACCACAGCATCACCGCGCTGCTATTAGGAACCCGAAGGTCACTACGACCAGTATCAGAAGGAAAAGTGCCTGGACGACGACGGTGAACCGTGCAGCGGGGAACTTGCCCTCTGTCATGGCATGTTGAATGGTGAAGTATCTCGTCGTTCCTGTCGATGGCGCGTCAGAGTGCGGTTCATCGATGGGTATGGAAGAACTGTGCATACCGACTACGAGCACGAACATTCCGAAGATCACCATCGTTGCGCCCAGTGGTTGTGCATATCTACTCAACCGCTTGTTGTCGCTGAGTTGATTTGCGAGGTTGAAGAGCTGAACCAAAGCTACGTCGTATCAGCTACAGGTCGCACTCAGTTCATGATGGGAAGGAACATACCGACACCCGCGCTGGCGAAAGCCAAGCTCGTACGGACGTATGCGAGAAAGGTGCGTTCTGAGGCAAGGTGGTCGCGTGCCACCGATCCCGTATTCTCCAGTATCAAAGACGGGTCTACGCGGCGCCATACTTTCTTCGCAGACTTGGCTACAACTATAATCAGCCTTCAAGTTCAAGTATAAACGTCAAAGATATTCACCGAGTTTGCTCTGCCTATTCTTTCTCCTCCGCCCTGCAGAATGGGTGCTCCGGGTTCCGTCATCTACCGTTGATGATGTGCTCGGCTGCGGTGTAGTTGCGCCGGATACGGAAGGTTCGGGGCTGATATGTGCGATTTCGGCATCGTTCTTGGACGTGCTGGCCATGGTTCCGTAGTTTGAGGGCGCGCGTACGAGCGGGGCGTGTTCGCTGTGCTGATGTGGGATATGAGAAGAGTAGTCTCAGAAATATCGGGATATATCGGGAGCAGGAGGGTATAGGCCAGCGTAGGATGAGGGTGCTGGAGGAGGACGGGGACAAGATACGGTCAGCGCCGACGTCGACATCGCCGGGCGCACGAGGCACATTGCTGGAGCTCCCACGCGGAATCATGCGCCGCTCATCTTGTCCACCGATGATCCTGAGCGTCCCAACCACCAGCACCCAATATCCAACCAATAGATCCCCGGCTCGTCCGACGCATTCTCGCGGACTGAATATATATGGAGTTCAGTGTACGAACCTGGTCCATGTTTGTCTCCTCCGTCAGGGTGGACCTCCGCGAGCTTGAGGTGTCCATCAGGGATGAAGGTGCGGTTCAAAGAGCAGGAGCAACGTCGCCGGGAGTGCGCTTGACGATGACATGGCGGTTGAAGACGAGTTGTGGCGTCCGGAGCACACCTTGGCCGGCTCGTCAACGAGCCGCGCGATGGCGAGCGATGGCGACATCCTGCGCGAACATCGGCATTTGCCGGTGTGCCGCTTTGTCGGAAAAAATCGAAAGGAACCTGCTTCACACCGCTCGCGCTGGAGTTTGCGTATAGTCTTATTGCTTATACTATTAACTTCGATTTGGAAGTGCGTAAGGCACTGTCTGTGTTCATGGGGTAGGTATAATCTCAAGAGTCGTCGCCCTGAGCTCGCGCCTTTCGCAAGGAGGGTATGGCTACTTCTCACAGGGCCCAAGTACCTGTCCATCGGCCCCTTCATTTCACCTGCTTCCCCAAGTCACAGCGCCACAAAGAAGCCTACTATCTGTTTGGCTATGCTTCTGACGACATGTCCGACGTCGACGGCGCTTCGCAGGTCAATCAAATATGGACATGTCCTCGCTCTGGAATAGCCGTTCTGCGTTTACAGGTCCCTCGTATAGCGTCGGACATAATTCGGTCATGCTGGGTACTGTCCCAAGGCACTGGGATTTCGAGAGATGCCAGTCATAACAGTCTTAGCTGCTCCTTTCGGTGTTCTCGGGCAGGGTTTTTGACTTGGAGGCCAATGGGCACGTCCTGATCGCATGAGTGTGGCATCCGCAACGTAGGCCACCGTTCCGCAGATCCGCTATCTTCAGAAAGAACCTATCTACTTACGACAAGATCGATGTAAGTGACCCTACACAGTTTCGGAGCTTTGTGGACGTGTAGGCTTTGCCACATCTACGTAGGTGCGCCTCTGACAGTTCGCCACCCAGATGTAATCTGATTGAGCAGATCAACCAATGGGCTTTCAGGTCCCCGCTGTGTGTCACCCAGCAACGGTGGGCGGGTCAGTCGATGGCAATTGGGTACCATTGGGCTACCACCTGGTTGTGGTCTTGGGTCAATCCGCAGTGTCGAAGCAGCGAACATCAGCCGTCGCACAGTCAAGCTTCCGTAGAGATGAACGTGCAGCGCGTATAGATCGGGGGTGCTGTATACAGTAGAGCATTGTCTTACAGCATAGCGTCTGGTGGTGGAGCTGTTTGCCTCGTACATATCGGATCGGGGCAAGTGAGAAGCCTGTCTGAGCGCAAGGGGCAGGGAAAGACGCGGTCACGCCGGCGTTCTCGGGCAGAGCGGTCGCACCGTCCCGGCCGGAGTTGAGTTGCGCACACGGCTCAAGATCTCAACCGAACGACCATGCCATGCAACTCACATATATACCCACTGCCGCCCGTATTTACTCGGGCCCTTTCTCGGCCCTCCCCTGCATTATATGTCTCTACTCCTCGTCGTGAGCGGGCTCGCGCTCGTATTAACCGCCTATGTCTTGCACCCGCTCCTGCATCTTGTTCTCGCGCTCTGGCTTTCGCCTCTCGCGCGGCTGCCATCCCCGCCTTCACCGTCTCTGCTGCTCGGAAACCTGGCGGCTATCGCTGACCAGGAGAACAACGATGTCATGACGAGCTGGACCAGGATTTATGGCTCCACATTTACCTATCGTGGCTTTATCGGTGGCAGGCGCTTATTGACCACCGATCCGCTCGCGTTGAATCATATTCTCGGTCACGCGTACGAGTACCCTAAGCCCGAGTTCGTGCGCGCGAGTTTGTCGGCTATGGTGGCTGGAGAAGGAGGACTCTTGACCGTGGAGGGGGAGGTTCATCGTCGACAGGTGCGTGTGCCACAACTCTTGTCACCGAATTGACACTGATGTATTGTCTTGCAGAGAAAGGTGCTGGTGAGTATAGATGGAGGGATCCCCTGCGTTTGCGGAGCCGCTCTCTCTACAGTTGAAGGTTGCATTCATATGCTGACACAATTGACAGAACCAGGCGTTCACTCCTGCATCCATCAAAACGCTCTATCCGCTGTTTCAGCGCAAAGCCGTCGAGTTACGCGATGTGCTCTTCCGCGCGACCGAGACCTTTACGCCACCAGCCACGCCGGCGCTCACTGTGAGGCACCGAAAGTCTAAGATGGTAGACTCGCTTGCCATCTTGCGTTCATTGGATCCTCCCGCCAAGCCGGTATCCCCAACGACAGCAAGTCACCTGCCTTCACGACAACCCGGCGTTTCGCACGGTGCTGTCGTCGACATGCTGTCCTATCTCTCTCGCGCCACACTCGACGTGATCGGTGAAGCTGGTTTCGGCTATCACTTCAACGCATTGAGCTCTCCGGACTACAACGACGAAAAGCCGGAGAACGAACTGTCGGCGGCGTTCGCTGTCATCTTCTCTACGGCCCGCCAGTACCGGGTGCTGAACATCTTCCAGTCGTGGTTCCCGTTGCTCCGTCGTTATGTGCGTGGCTTCTGACTTCTTTCTGTCCTTGGCGGTAGCAGCTTACCCGCAGTACATATCAACAGCAACCGAATGGCGCTTCAATCAAAGACGCGCAGGAAACTATCCGTCGTGTCGGGACGCAGCTCATCACCGAACGTTTAGAAGCGTCTCCGGCCGAGGACGAGCCCCGAGATTTGCTGAGTGCTATCGGTATGTCACCCGTCTCATTGGCTCCCTGTTACCAGCGAGCTGATTGGCCCTCCGACAGTACGCACGAACAGTGGAGTAGGCAAGGACGCGCTATCGCAGACCGACATTTTATCGCAAATATCAACATTCATCGCGGCGGGCCACGAGACATCCGCATCAGCACTCACATGGACGTTCTACGCACTGGCGCGCTCGCCGGACGAGCAGACCATTCTTCGCGACGCGATCAGATCATTACCCGCAGACGCCTCACCCGACGCATTCATCGCCTTACCAGAACTAGACAGAGTTGTCCGCGAAGTCCTCCGCTTACACGCGCCCGTCGGCAGCACGATGCGGGTATACGACGGCCCCGATCCAGAAACGGCCGTGCCGCTGGCGCGCGGCGTACGTGTGCGGCGGGACTCGCCCTGGCCGCTGTGGCGCCTTCCGGCCGGGCTTGCGGCGTTCTTGTCGTTGAGGATCCTATTTGGCAATGCGTGGGCGCTCACTCTGTCCGTTTGCACGATCATGCTGCTTATGCGCGGCAGCAGGAGACGGGTGATTAAGGCGGAGGAGGAGCGCGGGACGTTCGACCCGAGAGAGTGGACGGTGGATGATCACGTTCGGTTGAGGCGTGGGGATATTATCACTATCCCTATACAGGCGGTGAATCGCGATCCGGAGATTTGGGGAGAGGATGCGCGCGAGTTTCGTCCGTCGAGGTGGCTTAATCCCCCTGCGGCGGGTGTGAGCGCGAGTGGGCTGGTCCCGCATATGCTCACATTCTTGAATGGCTCGCCGGTAAACGGCAACAGAGCCTGTATAGGCTACCGCTTTGCTATGGCAGAGTAAGCCCCGCCTGCTGTCAATCTCCTGAGCTCCGCTGATATGACTTCAGGATTAAAATATTCCTTTGCGTTCTCTTACGCGACTTCGAGTTCTCGCTGGACGAGGGCGTCGTAATCGAGAAGCGCGTCAAGTAAGTTCACTACGCCTTCTACTCAACATTTGTGCTCACGTATACTTGTTCCAGCGTTGTTACCCGACCATTCGTTGTGTCTTCACCGGAACTCGGCAACCAGATGCCGCTCAGGCTCAGAAGGATCCCTTAAAATAGATGTACTATGTATCATTGCGCTTGCTCTCGTCCCAGTCCGGATAGTGTGTAAAGCTGTATATTACTTGCCCTCCTTACTACGTGTAATAAGCAGAACTCCAGTGTATACTAGCTTAACCCTATATCAACTCACGACCTCCCTTTGCCCCACGCACTCGATGACTTCATGACTGGAGAGGAACTCGGCCCGTGATGTCCGTCATAGTAGGCGCCGTACGCACGGTAGCGAGAGATGCCAATGATGGAAGCCGCATTATACTGAAAGGATAGTTTCGACCCCCGCCAAAGGGCCATCATCAGGAGCCTCGGCTGGCCCGACTATCCCGTCAGCGCCACAGCTGCCTACGGGATAAGATGGTGAAAAGGCAAGTGCACGCACCTGCTGTCGGTACAACGCGCATTATGCTTGACGTCGACCAACTCATCGTCATCACAGTATGTGTTCTTTATCAATCACTAGCACTAGAGGCAGTGTAAGTATTATGTAGTCATGAAGACATCGGGAGCGCACCTTTGACTTGACGCGCTTGCACCACATCTTACGGTAGTGCAAGCGCATGCCTCGAAGAATCGAGGGCTTCATCGACGCCCACTAGACGGTGAGCGTCGCGCGACTCCGTGCATTCACCTTCCCCAGGACGCTCCGCCACTGGCGCCTCCTAGTAATACTAATGGCGCGCCAATCGTGCAGCGAAGCATCCATAACCGTGCGCACAAAGTCCGTGGCGACTACGTGCATGTGGGCCAAACAGCAGCGTCTTGACCCGGACCAAGGCGACGGCGGGTTAGGCTTCAGCAATAGAGCCGGGTCCTCACATCCCGCATATGAACCTACTGACTCTCCGGTGCGGCCCAACGACGCTGTGAATGTCTCCGTCCGTCGGCGGGCACAGTCGTTTTACGATTGGGACTCGACCGCAAGGCGGGCTCCAGCGAGGATTACAGCAGCACGTTTATCTCCAAGGAGGCCAGGCGAAGGGGACGTTACACAGCTTGCGACGCGGGCAGAGCTGGCAGTTTGTGCACCCAAGCTACCTTGTCTGGTCTCGGGGCCCGCGGTGAAGCGGTTCTCGGACACGCCCGAACCCGAGTACTTCGCGAGGTACTCGGGAGCGGCGCCCGGCAGACGTACGAGCACAATGGTCTGTATCTGCGCCGCGGCGCAGAGCAGGATTGCGTCGTACGCTGACCCCGAGATGAGGATCTCTCTCGTGGAATGATGAAACCCGTGTGCAGACTCGCTGGAGTTTGAGGCCTTGACGCCTGCGCGGGGCGCCATTGCGTAGAGGTCGTGCAGTGAGGTTCTGGGATGGGGGAATGACCACGCGCCGACTTGGTCGACGCTTGTGTGGCGTATCATCATTCTGCAGGGAGACGTCAGCATGGTGGCGCAAGAGAAGGGAAGATGAAGCGACGCACATTGGGTTCTTCCATTTCTCGATTGATTCATCTGTGCAGTGCATCGTCAGGAAGGCGAACAAGGGGACGCGGGTCATCACGCACTGTGTTCCATTGTCATCCGCATGCTGTGCCTTTCCATTCTGGGAACAAGGTGAGTACGGTGGCGCAACTCCTTGAAGCACCCTAGGAGATAGAAGACGCACCTTTCACTTCATTGAGCTTTGGAGCGATGATCATCCTACAAGCGGGGGATGAGACGCGATGCAGAAGAAGTGACGAGAGAAGTTCAACGCGCCTGTGAGCTCATGTGTGGCGCCACCGTCCCGCGCGGGCGTAAAGCACGCGCACCACCCAGGCAACGGCGGATTGAGACAGTGTACACGAGCAGATGGCGAGCGTACCGTCAGTAGCCTGTGGAACGATGATCGTGAGCGGCCAAACACGGTGGCGATACGTTGAGCTCGCTGTGGTGGTGGTGTGGCGACAGTTATCGGGCTACGATGGAGTGGCGCAGAGGCGTCGCGACGACTTCAATCGGCGAGAGGAAGACGGCACGCACATTCTGAACATGCAGAAGATGGTATGCGGAGGCAAGGAAGGAAGGGGGACGGTGGTGGAGGGAACAGAGCGAGTTGCAGGTCCTTATGTGTTTCTGGCCTCGCCGTGAGAACCGAGGACGCGCGTAAATGGGGTCCAACAACCACAGCCTAGCGGGCCAAGCCGCGGGCGCCTGACTCGTCTGCGATTGTTCTCTGCATGGTTAACCACCGCGATAAGCCATCCATCAATCGATCCTCGTCATTCGAATGACAAAACAATAGAGGACAATGGGCAGAGGTGTTGATGGTGGCGTGCAGGTGCGGCGCTTACAGAAGACAATATCCTCAGAGGATATCGATCGAGTAGCTTCGGACGGGCACCGATTCGAGGCCCGAAGAGGATTCCCGTCGTCTTCGCCACCGGACAAGGAGGTTGAGCGTATGGTTTCGTTCGTGCTTCGAAGCGCCTATCAAGCGCCTGGGCGTAGTAAACGTCAGTTCATTCAATTCGTTCGCAAGATATCCAGAAGAGCATCATTCTCGGCGATCCTGGAGGGCGCCAAATGGGTGTGCACGATATCCGACACAATGATGAGTGTCAAGTCCGAGTTCGCCGGGAGCGAGCTGAGGGGATCGAACGGTGCACTTTGCGAAGGGACTTGGGCCAGCCGTTCGCCCGAGGCCCATTGTGTACTCGTAGTGTAGAGTCATGTATGCATATGCCCGCAAGCAGGCTCTCCAGCTGGTCGCGCGAAGCTCGGTGCTCGCCGCTGCGCGCAAGATGCTCGGAGTATTTTGGCCCCATATAGTGGCGCGTGGGACCTCCGCACGTGGTGATCATTTCGCGCTGTTCCGTGCTGCGGCACCGTTCATCTTCTCCTTCTCCCTACGCCTGCATGACCGCAGAAGCAGGTACCGATTTGAATACAGGCCTAGCGCTGAGCACAACCTGCACGGATAACATGGGAGCGATCTGTATGTTTCGGACTGGCGGTCCCCTATAGAAGCGGCCCCGGAGAGGCGCCACATCTAATACCGCCCGTCCCGCATACGACACACCGACAGCGTGTGGCCGACGTCCGCCTCGACACGCTCTTCCTGCGCAGGTACGACCGCAGATCCTGAGAACGGTCTCCCGTAGAGGTGCCCGAACGCCGCACTTTCCAGCACGTTCGCGCCATCCAAGGCTTCCTTTTGCATCGGGCTCGTCCCTGGAGAGTGTGGAACATCTCTCCATCAATACTGGGCGGCGTCATGCCTTCGGTGCATCTGGGTTCTCAAGTTCCAGAACGCAGTCTCCTTTCTGCTGTTAGGGATATAAAGCATGGCTGCTGCGCGGCTTTTGACGGCTTGACGCTGTCCACATCTTTTATGCCCATGCGCGCGTTCACTTGTGCGTTGTTGCTTGGCGGGGCTGCGAGGGTGCTCGCCGCGCCGACTGTGTTGTTGGCGGATGTTGCGGCGGAAGTTCTCGACGAGGACAGCAGCGTCAACATCACTCTGGTGCGGAATCAGGCTGTAAGCGCCTCAACACAAAGGTACGTGTGTGGCCCATACTTTGTGGTAGTCCAAATGCTCAAGCGACCTTTGTTTAGTTGGGAGGTCGGGACGTTGGCAGAGGCTCTCCTCGAGCTCGAATGGCCCGCGCTCTCAGTATACGGAGCAGCTTCAAGCAGCGCACACCCACCGCTGATCAGCGCGGACAACACGACTGCCAGCGACGTGTTCACGCTCGCCTCATCAACCCTGGACAACAAGCCCGCGGACTCTCTAGCTCTTGTTGCGAACGATGGTGCAGTCGGAGACCCGGCCAGTGCGTACTCCGTCTCTTCTGAACTTTTGAGTTCCGAATGTCCGAGCGTCGGCTGATGGCGGTAATAGGTATTGGGCCGGCGGTTCTCCTTGCGAACTGGACCCTGTCGAATGCGACGTACGGTGCTGCTGCGCAAGCGCAGCTTGATTACCTTTTGAACTATGCGCCTCGCACGGATGGGGGCGCCATTTCGCAGAGGACGGATCAGGTTCAGCTATGGTACGCCCTTCTTATCATGTGTATGCTACGGCTGCTGACCTTTTGCGTAGGAGCGACTTTGTCTACATGGCACCGCCGTTCTTAGCGTACTATGGCGCGCTCCAAAACGACTACTCTCTTGTCAAGGAAGCCTACAACCAGATCTGGCTCTACCGCTACACGCTGCGCGACGAGAACACTGGATTGTGGAGACATGTCGCGTTGGGCGACTGGCAGGACAACAATCTTTGGGCCACGGGTAACGGATGGGCGGCAGCTGGCATCATGCGTGTGCTGAAGACTGTGAACTCTTCTTCTGTCGCGGATGCGCTTGTCGGCGAGCAGGCGGACCTTGCAGGATGGGTGGACGAGATCTTGACTGGGGCGTGGGCGCATCAGGTGAGTCTGAGTTAGTTGTTGACATTAGACATCGGACTCAACGGGTTCACAGCAAACGAACGGGACGCTTTTGAACTACATCGACCAAACGGAGGAGAACTCCTGGGCCGATACATCCGCAACAGCCTTACTAGCCGCAACATCCTTCCGCCACGCACTCTTCACGAACACGACGACACACATAGACGCAGCGAATCTCGCCTACGACCTCGTCGAGAGCAGTATAGACTCCGATGGCGTTCTCCATGGGACCATCGATCCTTTGACGTTCGTCGCGCCGACTGCGGATGGATCGGTCAGTCCGGAGGGACAGTCGTTCGTGTTGATGATGAGAGCGGCGAGAGATGCTTGGCTTGAGGCGACGTCTGACTCTGAGGAGACGACGAGTGATTGATTTATGAGATAATTCATGTAGCTTCACGTGTATCTTGTGGAATAGAGTATGTGTGTTATCTTATCTGATGCTCTGAACGATGCCTAGAGGTTCATGGAACCTTACCTGCTGTCACGAGTGTGACCTAGATAAGGAGGTACAGCTGATGAGTAGAGGCGATTCTTCGCCTTCTATTCATTCTTCGCGAAAGGAAGTGGAGCTGGACGCCTCTCGGCTGCCCTCGGCACCACCAGGCAACCGCGAGGCTCAGGCTATCTTTTGTACACCTCACGATCGGCAGACTCTGAGTCATGTTACTGCAGCTGCACGACGTGACAGAACTTGGAAGCACCGCGGACTGAGTACGTGACCGTCCACGCGCGCTTCCTCTGGGAGAGAGATCGTACACATCTGAATGCCGAAGTTGGCACGATGATCCTCGTCAATTTACTCAATCTAGTCACCGAACTGAGTGGCCCAACTGTCACTTGCTATCGTGCGGGTAGTTACCACCGTCTAGGAGCGACCGGCGGGCTCAGTGGGTATAGATGCATGATTGGTTTTGGGTGCAGAACCTCAAAGGACGCCGTGTATAAGTGGCAGCGTGAGTGGTACCGAATCCCGGAACTTGATAAGATTAAGCAGGGTTGAGACAAAGATCTTAAACAAGATATATTCCAAACAGGCTTTCATACCGATGTGCACAGCCCATGTCCTTTATGACATCGCCTTGGCGACATAGCGATACCGTATAGGCGATTGTGCGGGTGAAAGACCTGGTGGAGAAAGGCAGAATGGAAAGAGATCATCGCCGCAGGCGCTGCGATGGGCTACGTAATCTCGGAACTTGCCGAAGGTCTCTAAGGCGGTTGTGCGGCGGGTCGTGGTCAGTCGAGCGCAAGTCATCCGCCCTCCACCACCCCTCGTACCCCCTTCATCGCACACTCAATCGTCCACCATGCTTCCAGCTCAGAGGAAGAAGGTCGACATCAGCGTATGCCATCATCTACTCTATGCGATCGAATAACGCGGTCTGACTGACTGATTATTGTAGAGCCTGACGGAAGAGGAGCAGAAGCTCTTCCGTCTCTACGGCAAGCTGCCAACCCACAAGAACGTCTTGACGAAGATGCAGAAGGTCAATCTAACTAGTTATGGCGATACGATATGGATCTGACAGTCGACGATGTGCAGGATCGCAAGTACTTCGACTCTGGTGATTACGCTCTATCCAAGGCCGGCGTTGCCCCCCAGAACGCCGTCGGTACATCAATTCCCACCCCGGAGAAGTGTGTATTATATTTTGAACATGTTACAATGCGCTGAGCAATGCATGCAGCATCCCGCACGCGACCTCGCCCCCCGCACATGGCCTCTCCATCTCGCCGAACGGCGCGCCCAACCATCAGATGCCCCACCGCGACTCGAACGCATCGACCTCGCCCGTCCGCGAAAGCCACCTGGCGCACTCCTCGCAAGTCGCGGAATCCGAAGCTTCGGAGGCGCCCGCTGCCGAGACGGCCGCACCCGTCGAAGTTGCGGCACCCGCTCCTGTCGCGGCGGAGGCGCCCAAGCCCGATGAGCTCATGGCCACCGAGTGATCGCCACAACCCGGCCATCCTCGAAACACGAACATTTGAACGCCAAACTTGGAATCTCGCCCAACCCATCGCTGTATTCATAGCTTACGCCGCGTCTTAACTATCAAGGAGAAGGATCCCTGTCGCCCCCCATGCTGCTAATAATCCGCCTCGTCGAACAAAGACTCGCAGACTGGCCCATTGCTCCGTGCCTTAGTCGTTCCTGTACCATTTTGCCGTCTGCGCCCGTCGGCGGGCGTGTATTTATGACAGCCAAACCCTCTGCTGTACCACCTACTTCTGTGTTGCTCGTTCATCCCTGTCACAATTATGAAGAGCGTTACCCTCTGCCCATGTTCATGTTGAGTTGTCGGCTGGCGACGGTTGCGCCGGACGCCCACGTGGAGTACACGCTCCATGGCGTCGCTGCCGGCCACACGCCGAGCCTCCGACACCGTGCTACAGAATAACCTCAAACGGTCTCGTGGCTACGTGCCGTGGGGCGGTGCTGATCCGGTCCGCCGCTGGGCGGCGTGTGGAAGTTGTGGCTCAGAATATACTCACGCGCACGACCCATTTCTTGCTAGCCGGGCTCGATATCACTTGATAGGTTTGCGTGCAGACAAGCATACGTGTTTTTGATTCCCACTTCCACGGATTGACTCTGAGATATCTTCGTGGTCGATTGTACCTGAATAAGCGGTCGGGCGGCTGCTCCCTTCCCAATTCTCGAAGCTCGATGACCAAGGAAACGTGTATCGATGGCATTGTGCTCGGCGGACTTGGAAGGGCTTGCTTGGTAGCGACGTTACTTATCATGCATCATAGTAAAGCAGAGCATAATCTAAACGTGAGCGGCATTCGTGCAAGACTAGGAGGAAGGTGCATTGCTCGACCGCATGCGGCAGGCGACCAGGGACGCATCGCAACTTCAAAGGACGACACAGCCCTTCCCCGAGCCTTTCTCTTCATGGACGTGTTCAAACCATTCACTTAGCTCCGCCGTCGATCGCTGAGTATCCGTTTAGAAAGTCGGTTCACGATCAGACTAGAAGTTCACGTACCGAAGACCAAGCCGCACGTGTGTACGCTTCCTCGTACACCCGGCTCAGAGCTGAATCGATATGCGAGGTGTTCTTCGTCTATATGCGTCGCTTCGTCAGGATACAGAGGGTATAACAGGGTGACCTATGGAGGTGCGTACCTCAAAAAAGGCCCTGACGCGCTCGATGTCTTCCTTGCTCGAGAGCCTCGAGAAGACGCTCAGTACTATACGATCTTTGCTGAACGTCTTCCCGAATTTTGCATCCAGCTGGACCACGCCGATGGTCAGCATAGCAGCTTTTCAGTACTTAAGCGGCCTGACCTCATCCCAGTGTAGCATCACTTGTTCGCAAGCTTTCCTGGATGCGCGAGGGTTCTTTGCCATGGCAAGGAGGAACGTCGGTACATCGGGCGCACGCGCATGTAGGATGGCTTCGTTGATGGTGCGGTCGCTGAGGGTGGTATGTTGAGTTGCAGCAAGAGCTGTCCTGTCTGTCTCATGAGCGATATCACTCGGTTAGACATGAGCCACTGCGCGCACACTGCCGCACTATGATGAGCTGGGTCGGTATTGTCTTGGTACACCTTGAAGACCTTGTCGTAGGACTCTTGCGCGCCGTGTCTGACGGCCTATCCTCGTTCGTCAGAGTACGAACATGCCAATGTGCATAGAAGAACGTACGCTGTAGAACGCCACAGCCACAGCACTTGCATTCAAACCAGATCCTTCGTGGTCGCGCATGAAAGCCTCGAACCACTTCTGCAGTAACTGAAGAACGCGAGGTTCGCCTGCTCTCGCAGCGTGTGAAAGCGCCAGTGTGCGCAATTGCGTAACCGCGTATCCATCGGCAGGATCATATTCGTAACCGATAATGTCGAGGATCCCCCCGAACTGCTTCTGCAAGCGAAGTTCAGAGCGTAGCCTGTGGTATAGGCAAGATGGACGTACGGCTTTCAAGGTGTTGAGCCCAGACATGATCGCGTCATCTTCCCACCACGTCCGCTCGATGAGATCGAGCTCGGCAGCTAGACTACGCTGTACTGCATACTGGAAACTTCCGCTGAACGCGTTGAACACGTCCATCACCTGGCCGATATCGTAAAGACCTGCTGCGGCTAGCGCGCCGGTGTCGTGAATGAGGCCGAGTGCATCTGCGGTGTTCAGGTCGGTTGCGAAGGTCAGAAGGGAACGCAGGTGTGCTGGGGTGTAGTACACGCGGAAGAAGCCTGAGGTGCTTGCGTTTAGCTTGACGATTGAGGGCGAAGGGAGATCGATGTATGTGGAGTGGGTGTTGAGGACGTGCCGGTGATCAACGATCTCTGCAGACGTATCGAGATGTAGAACAGCTAGCGGGATAGTCCTGCGGTGATGGCCATGAGTAGGAGTGAGACGGAGAGAGGAAGAACAACGGACCAAATGGTACTGTTCTCCTCATCGTCAGGCCGGCAATCTGACAAGAATCGGTCTTGGCGGACATCGATGCCAGTGGCTGTGGGTGTCACGCTCACGACCGGGAAGCCCTTCTACGAATGACGTTAGCGATATCCGTCACTTGGAACTGGTGCATCACACTGACCAGTTCAATCCATTCTTTGACCATCCCCGTAACGTCAACACCTACACAGGAACATGAGCGTCAACTCTCGAGTTCAGGAAGATCGCGTACCGCAGCTTTCACCGATTGCCGCCCAAAGCTCTGCAGGCTCTGCGTTCGCGTACTCGTGTCGTTTCAGATATAGCGCGACACCTCGCAAGAAGGCTTTCTGGCCTAAGTGGGTTGCCAGCATCCGAAGGATAGATGCGGCTTTGCCATACGAGAGGTTATCGAACGCCTGCACGTGCTATTAGTCACAACACAGAGCAACAACGCGATGACTTGCATCCATTATCTTGCTTTCCTTCTCAATAGGAACTAGTACAGGATGGCTCGAGCGCTGCGCGTCGACGCGCAGGGCTTCGTTCAGATGGCCGTGGATGAAGTCCGCCTCAACGCCCCATTCTGGGAAGAGGGTATCAAGGACGACGACCTCACCTATCTACAATGCAAAATCAGCATCCACTGGCAGCCTTCAACGTTGGGGGTACGCGTACCCATGCTGCAAATCCTTCGTTGAGGAAGAGCGAGTCCCACCACGCCATGGTCGTCGCATTCCCGAACCATTGGTGAGCTAGTTCATGAGAGATACTTCCGCCTGACTCGCGCTCCGCACTCGTATCTCCTGGCGCTGCTAGTGCATGACCAGCGTATGAGATGATCAGGCCCTGCATCTCCGTCTTAGTATACGGGGGACTCCGGGATGAGGTGATCATACCCAGTTCTCCATCGCGCCTACGTCGCTCTCGCTGATAGCCAAGATGTCCATCTTCGGCAAGGGCATCTCGAGCTCGAACAAGGCTTCATATGCAGGTAGGGCCCGACTCGCTACGTCCAGGGTGTAGCGTGCGTTGCCAATCAGATCGGCCGTTGCTGTGGTACGTCAGGCAGAGTACGAGGGAATCGAAAGGTGACGCGTCTCACTCCAGACTCGAACGGGCTTCTCCTCCTTCGAGATGGGGCTAGTGTATGAGCCCTCGATGAACTGGAAAGGACCGTTCGCGTATGCGACGATGTAGGTAGACATCTGCGGTAGAAGCATCAGATGGAGTATCTGCCCGGGATGGGCGGCCCGTTCCTACCGGAGGTGTCGTTTGGAAAACGGTCTTCACCCACTGTGTCGTGTCTTCTCCAGTCATGAGGAGATCATCCTTCGAAGTGGAAGAGACGTGTTCGGCTGGCATGTTCGCTAAGGACACGATGCCTTGCCGAGTGATGCTCGTGTAGGTGTACGTCGCTTTGAGCGCTGGTTCGTCGAAACACGGGAATGCAGAGCGAGCCTCCACCGGCTGATGCGCATGCTCAGTTTGTATTGGACAGCGATCAAGATGAAAACGCTCGCCTCAAACTGAGTAGCTGCATATACGCCTCCAGACCAGGTACACTTGTAGTACCCGAGCAGATTACTGGCAAGATCCGCTTCAAACCCGATCTCAAGGACGCCAGTTGTGCCCTTCTCGAATGTTTCCGCAAAGACGCATTCTAGGCGCTGCGTCTCAGATGTACGTCGAATCAGATAGGGAGTGAAGGTGGACGATGAGGCAGTCGATGTGATCTTGAACACGGGAGGTGAAACCAGTACAAGTGTCGAGGCGGCGTGCAGTTCTATGGTGTTCGTGGGCTCTATCACGTTTAGACTGGTAGAGGTCAGATCGGCATCCCCTCCAACACAAGAGAAAGAGACGTACTGTATGGACACGCGACCGTAGAAACGTTCGTGTTGTAGGTCGGTCTGGACGGTCAGATCGTAATGAGTCGGGCGCACTGTACGCGGGAGACGATGCACGCTGTCACTATTAGCCATTCTGCGTCGGATCAGCCAGGAGCTGTGGCGGGTCTGGATTTGAGGACCGGTGGCTGAACTATGGATCTGTTATATGGATGGGCGCAGGAAGGTCAGGCACGGGAGTTGCAACTGCGTCTATTCATCGGCGTCATTGCGAGTATGGTATACATAAGGAGAGTGCAAGAGCAATATGACATGTATAAAAGGATCGTACATTCCGCGGCCGATATGGGTTGGGCGCGCGCAGCCACGCAGCGACATGAAGGGATGAAGAGGTTCGAGGTCTGCGGGACGCAGTCCGAAGCCACGTTGGACGTCTTCTCAGCCCTCGAATGCGCGCCACTGGTCATGCTGCGGACTCCGGAGGATTGAGACGCAGCTACGGGTGAGCGCAACGTTGACTGTGTTGACGGTCGGCGCTGGATGGAAGAGTGGTCCCTTACCGCGCGTCGGAGTATATGCGGAGTAATAGAGTGACATGATGTTGAGAAGCTAGGCGCATGGGCGCTTCGGCAGGGTGGCAGTCACATCCTACGAGCAAAAGGGTGTGAAGAGAACAGGAATAAAAGCTCGGCAGGACTGTGATGGCTACAGAGTCCCTGAGTGATTCAAGGCCGGATAGTCACTAGTCGTCGAACGAAAGGCAGTCGTCGCGGTCCATGAGCGCGAGATCAGCGAGGTCAGTCTCCGAATGGTATTCGGCGTAGGATGCAGGTATAGGCGATAGAGGGTATGTGTCATCGTGTGGTGGTTCCTTCGAAGGGGATCCTAGCAGAGGAGAATGGGAGAGGTCTTGTTCGTGATCGAATATCCGACATAGATCTTCGCGATCGCCGGTGTCATGCTCAGGGTCGACCTCGAGAGCGTCGGGAGTGGCAGTTGTCCACGAAGATGCCGAGTAAGGGTGTGAGTCAGGTGGACTATGGGTGGGGGAATGCCCTTGAGGAGTGGGTGGCCAGTCATCGTCATCATTCATGTCGTCGAAGTCGAGCGCCATTTCATGATCTTCCAAAGCGTCAGGAGCTCGAGGTGTAGAGGTACGAGGCGAAGAGACTGCCATAGGAGGGTACGGTTCAATGTGACGCTCATCAGGAGAAGCAGATCGTCTACTGATGGGCGTTTGAGGGTATGGCCGAGGAGAGAAGATGTCTTCTTCGTCAGAGAGCATAGCGGTATCATCGTCCGAGAACAGTAAGGACTCATCCAACTGGTCGTCTTCGTCTATTAGTAAAGCATTCTCAGAGTCGTCGTCGGCGAATAGGTCCAGCATGTCCCTCGCTAGCTCAGCGGCGGTATGGTCTTCCTGTACTGGTATATAGTGTCCATCAGATACGGCAAATATGTCGTTGTGTTCCTCGGACGCATGATCGGCGAGAGCAGGTTGTGTAGAGCACAGGCCATCTTCGGGGTGAATGTCCAGATCGGAGTCAGGGTAACCTTCGAGAGCGGCTTGTCTGGGAGGTGAATGTGCAGATGACATTTTAACCTATCGGAGTGGCGAGTCACAATACGATCTCCGATCCAACACATGTTAACCCCGTACCTTGAATCGACGAGGCCGAAGCGCCTTTCTATACAGTCTCTCCAAAGCGAACGTGATCGCACGCGTGTCCGATACTCTATCGTCATCCATAGATTCAGATATATCGTCGCCACTTGGTGCGAGCACGGAGACTCGAGAGACAATCAAGTCGGTCTCCCGTTCATGAGAGGCACGCATGCGCGCAATGAGCCTGCGCGTGCTCTTCCGGTGGCTGGTGTTCGGGGACCGCACAGCGATAGTCAGAATTTTCCGGGCAATAGATTGGAACAGGTTGCGTTCGGCATCCAGTCTACGAGAGTAAGGTCCGAAGATGAGCGGGTATCGGCCGACGAGGTGATACGTGATGAGACGTTGGAAGAGGGAATCGAGTACGGGGATATCGGGCAAAAGTAGGTTTGGGGAGAATATATGCGCCTCTAATGAGAGTGTCAGTGTGTGCAAGATTTGTGAATAGTATGGACGCACCTGCGCTTTCTTGCGTTGCTTTCCAGACGTAGTCTAGGTGGATGGCGCGTAGGTAGAGCCGCGGCGGCCGGGAAGTAGACGGTGGGTTCATTGTAAGGTCGACTGTCGTAAGCCAATGAGTATTGTGCGCGCACTGAAGCTGATACCACGCACTGCACAAGTTATCGCCATCTAACCTTTCTTCTATCTCGTCCAAGCCGAGGCCATCTAGGTTCTGAGCTCGTCAGTCGAGAATTCTGGTCAAGTACACAAGCAGCGCTCACTGCATGAAGAGAATCGCGGAAATGCGCCAATAGAGAGCTGGCCTGTAGGTTGGCGGGTGCTATCTTTGCGGTGCGGTGCTCAGCTGCACGGAGGACCAAGGAGACGCCGTCGTGCCAAGGCGCGACGTCGAGATCTTGCAGTTGTTTGGCTGAGACCGTGTGGGCGCCATTACCAGGTTCTCCGAGTATAAGGTGATGTGATACACGAAGGGAGAGCGAATACTGATCGCCAAGCTGAGAGAACAAGCTACTGGCTGTGAGCGTCGGCATGGTGGGCAAAAGCAAGTCGAGAATCTGGACGCTGCGCGCGAACTACTCGCGTTTGTCCCCCAACCATCATCTCCGTGATGGCACCCTCGCTTGAATAAAGATTTGGGTGTCATGTACCATAAGAGTGGGACACATAAATCATAATTCAAAGATGCATCGACCAGACAGCCAAGAAACCGGGTTCCTAGTACTCGTCGGAATCTTCCTCATCCGAGTCTTCCTCTTCCGACTTGTCCTCCTCTTCGTCTTCATCGCCGCGCCGTGCTTCTGCGTCACCGGCCACGCCTCCTTCCGACGCTTCCGACGCTTCCGACTTTGAGCGCTTGCTCGCACTATCCGGATCGTCATCCGCGTCGCGCTTGCGCTTCTGGTCCGGGAGATCCTTGATACGCTCGGCGTACGGTCTGATGCGAGACACGAGGCAGAGGTCTGCATATATGTGCCCGTGCGATATCTCGTTGCCCCACGGCTGTCCAAAAGCGTACTTGATGCTAGTCAATCCAGTCGGAGGTGTGACCCAAAGCACCTTCTTTCGCGACAGATCCTCTGTGGACAACGTGCCTTCGCGACGAAGCACAACCGAGTCAGAATCATCGTCTTCCCTACACTCCATATCTATGATCCTGCTAGATAGTCCGCAGGCAGCGGCAAACTCGTCGTCTGCGTACCGCGGACGATAGAGGAGTTGGACGTTCGTCTGGAGATGGAGCTGGTTGAGCGCGACGTAGAGAAGCTGGTCTGCGCCCTTTAGGACTCGATGCGCCTTCCGGAGGCTCTCGTTCCTTTGTCCGACTGATACGGGGTACGCATGCTTCATCCCGAAGCACAAAAGCCCGCCCCGAGGCAGAACCTTCTTACTCCGGAGAATCCCGGTGAGAAGGCTCTTGCACTCTGACATGCGCGCCGTGACAGATTCGGGCGTGATCGCCTTTCTCTCTGGCTCACCATAGTAGAGGTTATATGTGAGAGTGATGCGGTGCCCTTCCGTCACGGGCAGTACTTCATGCTCGACGTCACTGAAGAATGCGGCGTAGCCCACGCGAGGTTTGCCCGGGACAAGAGCGCTTCCTGAGTCGAAGATGTACTCAGTTCCTCCAGATGGCCGAAGTACAAGCTCGCCTCCCTGGTGCGGAGTAGGGAATGCAAGGACGAGAGAGCCAAACATGCGCTCTGATCGGGGCGTGTCGACGTGCGATTTGAAGAAGGATCCTTTGCCTATCAATGGTCAGCGCGGTCAGCATGTATGCACGATGATTGCTTGCAGCACAGACCATAGATGTTCAGCTTGTAGAGCTCCATCTCGACCTCACGCTTGTGGTACTTCCCCTCGAGCATGAAGTCATTGACGATCTTGGCGAGCTCACTACGTTCAGGCACCAGCGGCGTTGAGAAGTGGGTAGCATCAAGTTTGCCGGCCGTACGGTATGCCTTGTCGAGCACGTCTTCGTCTCCCCTTCCGAACGTCGCTTCATCGCAAGCGTTTGTCAAGCGTTCGAGGTCCTCATCCGACGCTTCTAACGTCTTGATAGATCTAGCCAGGGCGAACTCATGAGCGCGGGAACGTGCGCCACAGGCTAACGGCGACGATGCGGAGAGAACGTACCTGACGACGCCGGTATCCTTGTCTTCATAGTAAATGGTAAAGGCAGAAGGAGACAACTCCAGTGTACCGGCTGTATAAGGTAACCGATTCTTCATCAGCTCCGAAACAGAGCCCAGTAGGCTCGCTATGGCAGGATCCTTGATCACGGGCTGAGTATCCGAGAAGCTGTAAGGTCCAGGACTAGGGCTGGCAGACGACATGGTGGCGAGAGAATGTGATTCCGAGAAGTGCGTACTCCCGCTCATGCTATATAGGCAGGCGCTTAAATAACAAAAACCTAAAGGACAATTGCTTGCATCCGTTCTTGGAATCTACAAGGACGCAGCGTCGGGTAACACGGGCGCAGTGTGCCCTTGTCTACATATGCTCGTCATATGCAGTCATTACGGAGGATTCCACACTCGCAGTTGCCTAATTGTGTGCTCAGATCTATTCAGATGCGCTTCGGATCCGGGCTTGCCACGTCTTCGGCCACTTCCACTCCCATGCTAGTCATCAATATCATGACTTGAGTGAGTACATCTAGTACATTCTTGGCAATACATCTACGCCCGTCTCTTTTTCACGGCGTCCTGCTCTCCATCTCTGCCTACTGTCTCGCCATCGCCCGCCCCAGATTCCACGCGTTTCCTCTTGAGAAGCCTCTTACGGCGCTCGCTATAGTGTTGGACACGAGCGACGATGCAGAGCCTCGCACATACGTATGTCACCTCATGCTCTCGCGTAGACCATGGTTGATTGATACAGGTGGCTTCTGTGACAGGCGTCACCCATATCACCTGCGAGGGATGCAAGGCCTCTTCGGCGATCGTGTTCTGCTCTTCGATCACCGCATTGAATTCCCGATCTACCTCCCAGCTTGCTTTGTAGCCACCCATCCTGTCCAAGCTCACGAGGTGATTTGCGAGACCGAGAGTCGCATTTGCTACAGTGTTTTGGGCCTTACGCGACCTCTCCTTGTAGATGTCCACCTTGTACGAGATCCGGATCTCCGGGTCCAACCCGAGCTGCTCCAAAGCGTTGAACAGTAGTTGATCCGTGCCTCGCAAGACACGACGCACGTTGTACGGCTTGTAGGTATCGATGTTGAGCTCGTCTGGGCCTGGGACAGGATACGAGTGACGTATACCAAAGCACAAGAGTCCACTCTCGGGTAGAACTGTGTCGTCGTCCAGAAGACTTTGTAACCTGGTCGTCCACTCCATGATCTGTTCGGTGGAGGACGAAGGGACAAGAGATGACGGTTCTGGCTTGACAGACCATGAGAGGTCGTATCGGAGCGCGACGCGATAACCAGAAGTGACAGGTAATACTTCGTGGTGGATGTCTCCCCAGAAAGCCGCATAAGCTATGCGGGGTGGGCGAGTTGAGAGCTTGGATCCGGTATCAAAGACATGCTCATCGCCCTCGTATGGATGCAGGACCGACTCGCCACCTGTGTGACCAACGGGAAAGGTCGAGATGAGGGTGCCAAAGACGCCATCGTCATCGCGCTGGGCGCGACGATGGGACTTGAAAAAGGAGCCTTGTTCTGTGTATCGCCCATGAGATCGGGATGCATGATAGTATCACGAAGGGACGGAGCATACCGTATATCTCAAGCTCGTAAGGTTCTGCCCTGAACTCACGAGTCGAGTCCTTGTCGTCCAAAAGGAAGTTACGTATGATGTCCATGAGCTCGGTTCGTTCGGGGATGAAAGGAGTAGCGAAAGATGAGGCGCAGAGTCTCGTGGACTTGCGAAAGGCCTCGTCGACGACACGCTTTCCCATGCGCCTCAGTGCTGAAGGCTCCGATGCTGCGATTAAGTCGTCTATGTCGGATTGAGGAGCGGTGAGGAGATCGACCGAGCTAGGAAGCATGTGAAAATCTGGCAGGGCGTGAGACTTGGTATGGGAGCGTACCGTGCACCATGATCAGGATCAATGTAGTGGATTCGAAATAAAGACTCAGGAAGGGCCAGCATGCCAGTGACATATGGTGTATTAGCAGGTGGGGTGGTTGCCAACGCGGTCAGGATATTGGTGGCCGTCGAGCTCAATTTCGTGGAAGATCGTGCCATTGTAGGTTGTGTGGAGAGAGAGAGGAGCAGGTACAGGGTGATATAAGGGGAGAGGCTAATCAAGGTGGCGCAAGTAAGTGACAATAGTAGTCAAGGGACAGCACTACATACGCGACCGTGACAACCCTCGGCTGTACAAAAAGAGAATAAGGTGGGAGTCGCGCTATCGCGGAAGATAGTAATCGACCGATGTCGCTGTTGGGGGCCTATAGACAGCTATAGAAGTCCTAGTGTTCGCAAGATGGTCATGGGCCTTCACGAGCGAGTGATCGAAACACGGGCTGTCCGGCCACTGATCATAACGGTGTCCATATTGAGCACAAGGATCGTTAGCCAGGCGTTCCAAAGAGGGTATCATGCGTCAGAGCTGAGGCCAGAGAGATATTATTCAAGGATATGCGCGGCGCGCTGCACTCGACACCTCTCATGGTGGTCCACGTCAAGCCAGCGGACGCGGCGCGCGCCACACCGACACGAGGCACGCAGATCCCACACATAATGCACCCACAAGCACCCTCCTACACCCTCACCCACCTGCGTTCAAGGCACCATATGGGTAGCACGTGGCAGGTTCTGACGGAGATGATCTGGTAATAATTTAAATGAGTACACAATCCACGTACGCGGTATTCTATTCTGATCTAACGCTTGCAATCTGACAAGCGCGGAACATCGCCCACGAAAAAGCTCATGCACGACTAGGTTGACAACTACTTAACGTTCAAGATAAGATCGTATATACTACGGCTGGAATACACTACCAGCCCAGACTCACGTGCGGGTCATCAACCCCTTTTCTTCTTCTTCGAGCGAAGCTCCCTCGTGGTCGATGATGTGGTAGCCTCCGTGTCGTTCCCCTGCGCCACACTCTTCCGCTTAAGGAGCTTGCTGCGACGTTCGCCATAGGGTTTGACCGGAGCGACCACACAAAAGTTTGCGAAGACATGCTCCACGAAACAGTATTTCCCGTCATCGCTGACCGCGTCCGACTGCCTCAACTGAGTCGCGGAGGTTACAGGCGTGATCCAGACAACCTGCGAGACGTCAAGATGCCGGCGCGCGATAGTGCCCTGCTCTGCAACCAAGTCATCCACGTCCATCTTCTCATAACTGCGCCACAGCTCAGTCATGTCGAGGGGGCGATTGGCGAGCCCACGAGTCGCATATTCGGCTTTGCGGTCTCCATCAACATGAAAGCCCAACAGCTCATACGACAGTTGGACCTCAGGATCCAGCCCAAGTTGATCCAACGCAGAGAGAAGCAGACGGTCCGTGCCGCGGAAGTACTGCTGTAGAGAGTACGGCTTCCAGGTGTCCAATTTGAGTTTGTCCTCACTCGGCACAGGGTACGAGTGCTCTATCCCAAAGCAAAACAGACCACCGTCTGGAAGGACCGTTTCGTCATCCAGAAGGGATTGGATTCTAGACGTCCACTCGTTCATCTGCTCGAGCGATGAAGTGGGGATAGGCACTGTGCGATCAGGGACCCAGGACAGGTCGTACAGCAGCGTGATGCGATGTCCGGATGTGACAGGCAGAACCTCATGGTTAACATCTCCACGAAACATTGCATAAGCCATGTAGGGAGGACAAGACGACATCTTCGCTCCAGTGTCGAAGATGTACTTGTCACCCTCAGAAGGGTACAAGGCTAAAGCGCCACCAGAGTGAGCCGCAGGGTACGTCAAAATGAGAGAGCCGAAGATGTTATCGCCATGGACTGCGCGGCGATGTGACTTGAAGAAAGATCCTTTCTCTGCATGCGAGGAACACGGTCAACGCCCGCGTCTCATGTGATACAGCGAGAGGGTACTGACCATAGATCTCAAGCTCATGAAGTTCTATATTGAACTCGCAACCTAGCTCCTCCGCTTTCAAGAAGTAGCGGCGGATGATCTCCATCAACATCGTCTTTTCCGGGACGAGGGGGGTGAGCAGGGACTCGGCGCTGATCGTCAGAGACTTTCTGAAAGATTCGTCGACCACGCGTTTGCCACCGCGTTTGACAGCGGCGGGCTTCGCTACTTCCTTCAACATCTCGATTTCAAATCGTACCCTGGGCTCACGTAAGCGTGCGGATCTAAGGAACGTGATGAGTGAAAGGTAAAGTTTTGAATAGTCAGGGACAGCAACGGACGCACTTCGCTACGCCATGGTATCGTAAGCCGTCATGAAGTACGACTGAGAACGCAGTTTCAGGCAAGGCCAGCATGCCAGTGACATATGACGCGTTGATAGTCGGCGTAGACGATAGTAGAGCGAGGGTATGAGTGGCGGCGGGGCTCATCGATTGAGCGGGACGCGGCCCACTTGGGGATCGCGGCATAGTAGAGGGTAACTTGCCGACTAGGGAGAGCGCTCCGACAGCTTATAAGTAAAGGTAGGGGCAGATGGCCCATGATTAGTAGCCATCGTTGTTAGGAAGTACGAGAGCAGAACAAATGTCTCAATAGACAAGGACAGAGGTGGTGCTAGTTCAGAATAAGGTGAGAACCGAAGTGAAGAAGGCTCGCGCGAGAAGCCTGCTGGGGGAAGTTGCGACTCCGAAAAGACCGAGTAGTACCGTGTCGTATACGGAAATCGTACAGGGCACGCAGCATGTTGTATGGCCGTACAAGAATGGACAAGAACCTCCTTCCATGGTGGTCACTCCCCAAACGGCGATGCTCGCATGCGGCCCGTCTCGTGCCGGTAAACCGGCCCTGCTCACGATCACATGAGTAACGCGTCCCAGTCTCTCCATTTTCGTGTCGCCCGCCATTCTAGGCCTTTGGCCGGGTTCCAGTGCTCTCACGACGCTAATCCAGTCTTATCGGAGGTCCCAGTCTGAGGCTTCACTTGTCATAAATGTTCTCAAGCTAATGGCCGCCGCGCGCAATCACCTCTCGGGGCTCAAGCGGATCTTCATGGCGGAACGCGTACGTCCAGAGCAAAGCGCTCACAATACAAGTTGACCCAGGACCTTACTCGTAAACTAGTGAGCCGAGCTCAATAGAGATACGGGGGAAGTTCGTAGCGCGCCACAGGCGCCCTGTCAAGTTGACACTCGCCACTCAACACCCGCAGATACGCGCGCGTCAATGAGTACATATACAGTCGACGCATCTCTTCGCTTATCGTCAACAGCTCGTCTCATCATAATCATGGTATACTGCACTCTTCTCGCTACAGCTTTCGCTCTATTCGCTGCGCCAGCCCGCGCGCAGCAGTGCACGTCCCCAACTCAAACCATCGCCCTCTGCTGCGAATCGCTCGGCAAATTCAGCGACAACTCCTACGTCTGGACCGGCGTGTGCGGCAAGACGGGTGTCGCACCGGATACACCTACCGCGTCGTTCTGCGGTGCTCCTGGGACGTGGTAAGCGGCAGCACACTGAGCGGTGGGCTGAGATACTGACAAGTGGGCTATAGCTACGATAACATCATTCCGGTTTGCTGCGAGTCAACGTTCGGTGAGGATCTTTTTGAGGCGATCGTGTAAGGGGTACTGACGGCGATAGTGTGCGGGTACGATGGCCCTGTCGGTCTGAACTGCTCGCGCGTGGCAGCTTGAATGCTGGTAAAGATGGGACGGTATCGATGCGGTACGTCAGCGCGTTCAACGCCCGGGCCACATCTTGACGGATAGGACTTCCAGTGAATGCATCGAACGAGGGATGACGGACAGGTGGCGGATAGGACGTTGTAGTAGTATCGCACGCTCTGGATGGTATGGGATCTGTTGCTTGTGAGATACGTCGGCGACCACTTTATGATCA